TCAATTAGTCAATCAATTAGTCCATCAATTAGTCCATCAATTAGTTCGTCCATCCATCCATCCATCAATCAATCAGTCCATCCATCAATTAGTCCATGAATCCATCAATTCATTCGTCAATCACTCCCATCCATCCATCCATCCATCAAACAATCAGTCCATCCATTAACTTGTCCATCAATTAGTCCATCAATCCATCAATACATCCGTCAATCACTCCCATCCATCCATCCATCCATCCATCCATCCATCAATCAGTCCATCAATTAGTCCATCTATAAATCAGTACGTCCATCAGTCATCTATCAATCAATACATCCATCAATTAGTCCATCCATCCATCAGTCCGTCCATCCATCATCTTTACCTGCTTCTTCCTTTATAGGTCGCGGGGGTCTCATGGTGCCCATGTCCAGCAGTCACTGTGTAAGAGGTGGGGTACACCCTGGACAGGTCTCCAGTCCATCAAAGGGACACCAGGACATGTCTCCAGTCCATCACAGGGACACCTGGACAGGTCTCCAGTCCATCACAGGGACACCTGGACAGGTCTCCAGTCCATCACAGGGACATTTCAGAGTCACCAATCAGCCTAACATGCATGTTTTTGGTCTGTGGGATGAAACTGGAGTATCTGGAGAAAACCCACGCAGCACGGAGAGAACATGTAAACTCCACCCAGAAAGGCCCTGGACCGGGATTCGATCCGACGACCGTCTCACTGATACACAACTGCTCTACCAGCTGTTCCACCGTGCCACCACTAAACCTTTGTAATATTCATAAAATACAAACTTGTCCACATGTGTGGCCTTTGTCCAACAGTGTTGTGTTAAAGTGCTTTATAAATAAAGTTGTGTGTGTTCTGTCAGGTGCTGCTGATGAATAGACTTTAGACGGTTTGCTTCAGATTTGAGGTTTTCTGGTAGAATCAGTCTCATATTTATATTAGAGGTTAAAAATGAAGAAGCCGAATAAAAACAAATCAGATTTAATTGTTGACTCGTCCTTCAGAGAAGACGACGTTAAGATTGACGTGAGCTTGGATTCTTTCTTGACATTGTTGTTGTTCTTTCTGTAAAGTGTCTGAATCGACAGGTCCATGTTCTGAGCACATTACTGTCCTGATCCAACTCAGAACCTCTCTGGTCCCTGAAGTTTGGACCCAAGGGAAGGAGACGCGACAAAACGTTAGTGAGGCTCTTTGCTCTGCGTCACGATGCTGATCCCTCCCTCTG